CCAGGCAGAGCCTCACCACTCAAACATTTGTACATCAAGGGCACGGTTTGTCATTTCCACCCTCTCTTCATGACGAAAATATAAAAGTCACATGTAACTGCCTGAAGCCAGAACCATAGGTGACTTAAGTTTTAAAGCAGACAATGCCTCAACGCTGGAATGCCACCAAGTGGACAAACTCCATAATGTTGCTCAGACTAGCCATCATTTTGTTTTACAAACTTTCGAATTTAATGTGTAGAATTAACTTTAAATGCCGAAGGAAATAAAAACCCCCAAAAACCATAGTGTAAGTGCAATAAGACCTTGGCCCTTATCCTTAGCTCGAAGTAACTCAACTCTCAAAATGGAATCCAGGGAGACCAGGTAAAGACAGACTTCTTACAGAAACCAAGGCCAGTACAAACTGAAATCAATAGTAGGAATTTGATTCCAAGAACGGCCTAGGAGGCTCTCTGAAAGCTGATTGTGTGCGTGAGTGCTCACAAGCCAAGCAGTCCTCCCTGGAGCAGAGGGATCCAGAGCTGTGAGGCAGGGCACAGCAGGGAAGTGCTCCCACTTGGACAGGACTTGCTGAGGCCCACTAGGAGTCAGCGATATTTCCCTATAGCATCTCACTTTTGCGGCGGGAGTGCTCCCTCCATACTGAAACCCCAACTAGCTGGACCCTAGAAAAGATTTCAGGGTGGCGGGGATGTCGTGACCAGGGTCGGCTAATGAACTTTCACAGGGATGTCTTGGAAGGACCCCGAGCTTTCTCTGTCACCAAGCAGAGACTAGCACACACTCCATTCTGCCTGGAGTCCAGCAATCCTCCTAATATTTTCTTAAGCAATGTTTAGCTTCTCCCTGCTTGTTAGAGCATGCAGCCTCCCTAAACTTTCCACAGAAGGTATTGAATGGTTTTTGCTTCTGTTGTGACATCTTGCAGGAAGGCTACTGAGAACTGAACTCTGACTTTGCACTTGTCTCCCGGGGTTATGTCACAAGTCCCACGGTTGCTGTTTCCAGGCACAGTTTAAGTCAAAAAACCAAAACAAACAAAATGATAAAAGTCATTTAAAAAGTCAAAACAATGCTATAGGCAAGCGCTAAAGGGACAGAAGGAACACCTCTGGTCTACAATCCCAGCAGGGACAGAACTCACTTGTCCAAGACAGAAACTCCAGCAGCCATGACCTCTCTGAATGCCTTGCAGGTTCTGTCCTCTGTGGGGCCAGCTAACGTTTGTTCTCCTGTTTCTACTTAATTCTATTTTTCACACAGAAAAACACTCAGGGTATGACATCCCCAAGGTACAGTAGATCGAACTATAAAACCATCTCCTTAAAACTTGATCAAATGTCGGGTTCCGATCTCAGAGGCAATCACTTCAGTCCTGCGGACGCTTCTGGAAGAGCCCAAGCATAGCTCCGCTCTGTCTAGCAGTTATGCCTGCCCTCTCTCTACTCGTCTACCCTCTCTCTGCCACACCCTCCTTTCCGGTTATACTGTTATCAAAATACCACTAAAAAGAATGCTCTTTTCACTCCCTAATTTGACATACTGTGGAGTTTATGCCAGATCAATACAACACTTACAGCTTGGCTACATTCTACCACATGGATGCCCGTTAGATATTTAGCGAGTTCCTCATTAGAAAGCACATTTAGCTTATTCCCAATCTTGTGCTATTTTTTTTAAAGATTATTCTTTACCCATAATCTTCTGAGCAAACTTGACAGCTTCTTCAACTGGGTCTGACTTCACAACTGCATCCAGAATGCCGAGCTTGAGTGCTTCGCCTGCTAAAACATGTCTTCCTGAAACCAAAGGAAATAAACCAATGAACGATGTGAGGATGTCCCGGGGCATGGCTCTCTCCAGTAGGGAAGGTGGCCATTCCTGGATACAGCAGTTAGTAAGTAAAAATGCCTAAGGCCATCCTGACTGCTGTAGCTGAAGTTTTGTTGTTGGAGGCAGGGTCTCACCTATGTAGCTCGGGCTGGTCAGGAATTCGATACATAGACCAGGTTGGTCTCATACTCAGAGATCCACCTGCCTCTGCCTCCCGGGTCCTCCGCCATGCCCGGGACTGGCCACTTGTGGCTCAACATCACTGCCGATGCAGCCAGAAAACTTGAATTCAAACTGTAGCTCTAATTCTTACTACTTGGGGAACCATAGGTACCTGGAGTGGAACTCTGATGCCACCCCTTGTAAATGGAGGTAATTATGTTTACCATAGTAGTTCTGTATTGGGTAAAGGAAACGTGGTCTCTTTAGATTCTTGCAAGGGTATAGAACCCTGCCAATCTCTATAGAGGTATGCGAACTGATTGAGGTTTAGATTCTGATAGAAGTGGTAGTAACAGACAGACAGGGCTCTTGACCTTGTACCTGCCAATTACCAGGAACTGTATTGATCAAGAGACAGTCCCCGAAGAGATGGTCCCCCAATACAGAACTAGCCGGCCGAACAGAGAAATGTGTTCACTAAGTTGGCACGCCACAAAGTATGGTGAAAGTTACACAGGAGAAATTGGACAGAGCTTTGTCTCTTTTTGGCTATCTAGCACCTTGACCCTGTCTTATATTGTGGACTCTCTACTGCGCAAGCTTTGTAGTCCTGTTTCCCATGGAGGCAGAGGAGCAAGCAGACACCACTGGACAACTGCTATGCCCTGGCAGGGAAGTGGGACCTCTAACCTCAAGCTCGGGGATCCATGCTCTGCTGAGCACTCCTCTGTATCCGCTTCATCAACAGCCTTCCAGACTCCTCATCCTGTGAGGAGTGGGGGGCAGGTGAACAGTGGCCAGTGTTCTCAGTACCAAGGACACTTGGGTGAGTGTAAGTGATCCTGCCTTGGCAGGGCAAAGAGATCAAGACACAGAAAACGAAATCGGGGAACTACCGAGATCTCTGGGGCAACATGGTAGGGGAGTGTGAGCTGCCTAAGGGAGGCACTGGCTGTCACCAAGTTCTTGAGTCTCAGAAAGAGTACCAAGGCTGCCTAGCTGGCTGTAACCACAAAGCATGGATGATAGACTCCAAGGAGACCCCAAAGTGGCTGGAGCGGAGAGTGCCTCGCGCGCGGTCAGCGCTGGCATGTGTTTTCCAAATTTCTCCCAGAACTTTTCTCCAACCTAACATTTCAATGTCTTCCTGGAACCTTTCTGAGATGTCATTTGAAAGCCAACCAGGGCCACCAAATCCCACTATCCACTCAAGAAGACAGGTGTGTGATTCCCTGGCTAGCTTGCCTGCCGACTCACAGGGGCCTTTGCTATGCAAATCAAAACTTGTCAACTCCAGAGTTTCTGCTTCTTTCTCCTGAAGCTAGAACAGCAGCATCAGTGCTGAGGGCAAAAACCCAACCGAGCTCCCTTCGCTTCTCTTTCTTCAAGGAGTCGGGTTTTTAATTCCTGCTTTTATTCAAGGTACTCTTGTCTTCCTGACGAATTTCTTCAATTTCCTTACAGGCTTAATCCTGCAAACCCTACGGCTTGCAGACTCAGACCCCACCATGGCTATGCCCTCATGTATTTTGTGCTTCTGCTTCTGTTTTGTCTTTTGCTGGATACCCTGTGCTTTGCATTTCTACAGAGAGCCGGGTTACAGGCATTCTCTGAGGAAACTGAAATCGCTTCAAATACTTCACAGTCTAAAATGTACCTGTCAGGAAGCAGTGTGTAACTTGATTGTTTGAGTGAATTTCAATTCAATACACTTAGTTTTTCTAATTTTCCTTTCATACACCTCCTTTAGAAGAGCAAAGTTATATCTAATTCATATAGACTTGGTTTCATGTCAGTTTTTTTGTAAATCAGAGCATATAGATCTCTATTATTGATTCTAAAAGATCTTTATCTCTTTACATTCTTAGGATTATGAAGGAATACACAAAGCTATGGACCTAAACACCACATCGTCCTGCCTCGGTCTCCTGAGCGCTAGGATTATTGTCACCAATCACCACACCTGGTTTTACGCAGTGCCAAGAAACTAACTCAGGTTCACACGTGCGGGACAAACATTCTACCCACTGAGCTACACCCACTGCCCCGACATTCAACCTTCTACACCAGTACTGACTGTTATGGTTCCTATATGAATATGTAGTCTACAAATAACACAGACTACAATACGACCCTCAAACAGAGGGGTCCTTTGCACGCATTTTTCCTTTAGAAGGCTCTCACGTGGGCTCTTCATGGAAACATTTGGGAGGTACTAGGGCAAATTATTACAGATGACAAAATTTGGAGTCAAAGAAATTAAACTAGTCTCGTTAGAACGTGTGTGGGTAGTCAGTGGCCAAGATCAGACTTCCTAGATGCTGGCCTCATTCTCCAAACCACAGCCGAGATTTCCACTGACCTGAGGTGATTAAGTCAAGAGCAACAGGAACTCCAACGAGTCTGGGAAAGAGCTGGGTTCCTCTGGCACCAGGAAGAATTCCCAGTGTGACTTCTGGAAATCCAACATGAGCCTACAAGACAGTAAGGGCAGAAAGGCCATCGTCATGAGAGAGTGTAATGAGATCTTAGTCTGCCCAGGACTTCCCACACCTTAAGACATAGCTTCACCAAAGTCAGCAACAGTCTCTAGAAGGCACACAGTGTCTGCTGTCTCCTTACGTCACATTCTGAGCAGAGCTGTGCTATTTTCGCACATCCTTGCTTGGGCACATTTCCTTCTTTGAATCTATAAGAATCCCTCTCAGATAATGAAATAGTCTTTGTGGTTTTCAGTGTCCCTGCAAGCAGCAGACTGTGGACCAAACCCCAAGGATGGAAGGGGACAATACAGAACTTCCCGTATCTCCACTCTACAAAGAATGTCCACAACTTAACAATAAAAGGGCAACCAACTAATAATGGACTGATTATCTGGATAAACAATGCCCCAGAGAAAGGATCCAAGCGGTACATGGTGCTCATGTCATTAGCCATGGGGAATGTAAACCCAAACGAAACACGTGTGATGCCTGCCCGAGCGAATATAATAAAGCAGGCAGGTGCTCATTTTGGCAGCACAGACGCTCAAACTGGAACAACGCAGAGATGATTGGCATGGGAGCTGCCAAGGGTGGCACACATGTCTGTGCAGCGCTCCATAGTTTTCAATACAGAGGGGAACATTAGGGTGCAAGTGATTTGAAGGGGGAATAGGGAAAACGGGGAGTTTTACTCAGGGAGAAGAACACAACAAACAGAATAAAGAAGGGGGATAAATGAACAGCAGAGATGTCTGAAAAGGGGGGTCTCAGCAGTTAAGAGCACTGACTGCTCTTCCAAAGGACCTGAGTTCAATTTCCAGCACCCACATGGCAGCTCAGAACTGTCTGTAACTCCAGTTCCTGTGGATCTGACTCCTTCACGTAGTCAGACAAGCAGGCCAAATGCCAACACACACAAACACACGCACACATACACACATGCGCACACACACAATGTCTGAAAATCATAATATATCAATACTATTATCTCTCTACTGAAAATTACACATAACACATATGAATCTGTATCTATATGTAAATAAATATATTTTAAATCGTATTTCTCCATCTGGTCTGACAACAACACCTACAAGAGTCATAGACAATTTAACAGAAACCCCAACACCAAACGTAAGAAGTCTTTGTTCGAGTGGGTCAGGATTGTCCAAGAGACTCCCAGAACACTACAGGATATTGTTATTACCTTTGGTTGCCTCCCAGAGGTGGAAGGTAAGTCCCTATTACTGAAAACACTATGCACTTCAGAAACAGGACCCAGAGGCTGTGGAGCTGGAACTGACCCAAAAACCTCCTCCCTGAGGACCAGCTTTCATGGTCCCACAAGCTTCCAAGGGAGGGAAGCAACCAACAATCCAGCTATGATGCCCACGAAACATAGCAAACATCATAGGTGCAGCGGTGGCACCCATGTCTTCATGTTAACCCATGGCTCTCTGGGTGCAGTGGTGGCACCCACACCTTTATGTTAACCCACGGCTCTCTGGGTGCAATGGTGACACCCCCATCTTTATGTAAACCAACAGCTCTTGAGTTGGACTTAAGATCTGCTCAACAAAAGGGAATCCATATCTGGTACTGGAAACCTAGTCAACTACCCAGGGCTAGTGAAGTCACAGACCTTGGAGGCGAACCTCCAGCTACCACTTAACTAAAGAGCACAATCCCTAACTACATTGTAAATATTTGCCCTTGTGCCCACAGAAGTGTAGTACTCACCTCTCATGGCAAAAACTTCTCTCTGTAATAGATGAAGACCATTACAGAGATCACAACCAATCAAAATGCGGAGCTGGGGAGCCCACTCCCAGTGGAACATCTACAAAAGAATGCTTGAGCCTAAAGTAATGATCTGTCCTGTCCCTTTAAGAGACAAGCCCCACCCTAATGTGGGAGGTTCTTCTGTCTATGTGTGCTTCTATTGGTTAATGAATAAAGAACTGCTTTGAGCCAATGGCAGGGAAGAACAGAGCTAGGCAGGGAAAGCTAGGCTGTATGCTGGGAGAAAGAAGGGTAGAGTCAGGGAGAAGCTATAGAGCTGCTGCCAGAGTCAGACATGCTGGAACTTTGCTGGTAAGCCATGACCTCCTGGTGATACACAGATTAATAGAAATAGGTTAAATTAAGATGTAAGAGCTAGCCAATAAGAAGCTAGAGCTAATGGGCCAAGCAGTGATTTAATTAATACAGTTTCTGTGTGATTATTTCCGGTGTAAGCTAGCAGGGTGGCTGGGAAGAACAAGCAGCTCACCTTCCCTCCTACACCGCCCACTCCCTTCCCCATCTGCTGAGGCAGGCAGATCTTCCTTCCTGCTTGCAGCCTGAGTCTCTTCCTTTTCTGTCTCTCCCCCAAAGAGGCAGCTTCAACCTCGCTCCATTCTCCCCACTTCTCCCCTTCCCCCTGTCTCTCTGCCTCTCTGCTCTTCTCCCCTTCTTCCCCTTCCCTTCCATAACCCACTAAATAAATATCCAACCTCACTCTGCATTGGTGTGCCTATCCCTGTCTCTGTCTCTTGCCTGCTGCATGGCTTGCTGTCAGGGACCAGCCGCTTTCAGAGATCTGGGGAGTGGTCTTGTGGTGTGCCTATCTGTCTGTCTCTCCTCATGACCTGCTGCAGCCACTTGGGGAACTGCACCATCCCTGCCTAGGACTAGCTGCTCTCAGACCTGCTGCCCACTGCCACACTTGGGGACCTGTAGCATCTCTGCCGGATTTTATTTAATCCATTACACCTAAGGCTCAGGCAACTGTGGAAGAGGAGGGCAGGAGTCAAACAGCTGAGCACTGGCACTCAAGATGCACAGGAAAGCCAGCAGCCTAGCCCAGGTCCAGCTGGAGAGTTTGCACTGGCCGCCCTAACGTCACCTCTAAGAGCCTCTTACCCGAGCATTGGCGACTCGATAGTGGCAGCCCAAGGCTAGCTCTAGTCCTCCTCCAAGAGCCACACCTTCGATAGCAGCCACCACTGGCTTCGTGTATCTCTGTATTTCGTCCACCACATCTCCCAGTCTGAGGCTAGAGGAGGCTCCGGGGGGATTGCTGAAGCTGTGGATATCGGCACCTAAAGACACATGGACAAAGGGAGGTGGTTCAGAGGGACTGGGCCTTTGTCACTAACACCAGGGCCACAGCCAGTCTTAGAAGGCCCAGATGCCTTGGGGCTGAGAGGCGCTTTATCTTCAGACTGTAGATAGAAGGAAATGAGAGAAATCAAATCTTTATCAGGAACCATATAGTCTCCTAAACTCTGTGTTCCCATTTGGTAGTGAGCATCTCCAACTTCGGGGAAATTTAGGAGCTCAGAAAAAGAGCTAGATTCTTTACTAAGTCTATCATTCTGAAAGTCAGTGCTTTTGACCAACCAGTTTTTAAGAATGTCACCCTTTCTTCACTAAGAACAAAAGCCTTGCAGTGTAAAACGCCGTAGTTAAATGGAGACTTCTTACGAGTTACATCAGTAACCAACTTAGTGTGTATACATTTCCTGAAAGCATTTTTAAATGACTTGTTTATTTTTATTTTATGGATATGGAGATATTGCCTGAGTGTTATGTCTGTATGCCGCGTGTCTGCAGTGCCTGTGGAGGCCAGAAGAGGGCGTTAGATTCACAGGAACTGGATGGAGTTACACAGGGCTGTGAGTGGCCATCCCACCCCAATGTGAGCAGGAATCAAACCCAGGTCCTCTGGAAGAGCAGTCAGTGTTCTTAGTCACTGAGCCAGCTCTCCAGCCCCTGATAGATTTCTTATAAGTAATAAAATTAACATAGCTTGTCTTTCTGGATTATAAAAATGAGGCAGGAATTATGAAAATTTAAAAACTGTACAAAAACAAAGCAATGAAGGGCCACCTAAATATCATCTCCCAGAGATATGGCTTGAGGCTGCTGAATTCTTCGTCCTCCCAAGTGTATGTAAAGGATTTATGGCCTCACTATGACATTTATCCTTTCGGTCTCAGTGGCTATCTTAAGTGACTTGAAAGTCTTAAGAGATCTCAGTATGTCTTTCTAACACAGAGAGTGCACTGTAAAACCTTATTTTTTGTCTTCACTTGACAATGCAGGCAATTCCTAGTGTTTCCACAGGGCGTCCTCTATTCTTTGACATCAGTAGGCTTGGTATAAACTTCACAAGCAATGGTTTCAGGGCTGAGGGTACAGCTCAGTTGCAGAGGACCAGCAGTGCATGCAAAAGCCCTGTGTTTAGTCCACAGGGCTGCAAAACATTTTAAATTGAAAATAATAATTGTGGGTAAGCCATATTACCTACTTCTTCCTTTTGTTAAGTTGGGAGCGTAGCCCCCAGGCCTGGGAGTTGTATTGGTCTAGACTCCAAATCCCAGCATTCCAGGTCCTGACTCCTCCCTGGGGTGGGGGTGGGGGACAGGACCACTCCCACAGGGTATTTCAGTGAGCTCCCAAAGGAGAAACACGTGGTGTCGTGTCTCCCCCACCCCATCGCATTCGCAGCCTCCCCTCCTGGCTCCCCCTCGGGCCACCTGTTAGGAAAAATTCCAAACACCTTTCCCCTCTTTTCTACCTGCTCCTTATCCACACCGTGTGAAGACGCCGGGCCTGAGGCGCATGGCCCACATGCCACCTCCTTTAAGTCTCCTACCAACTCACCTGAACAGTATAACCCTCTGCATCACCAGTGAGAAATCTACAGTTTCGAGATATTAACTGATTGTGCAAGACTCAACAATTAAATTAAGTTACTCATGAAAGAGAGACCCCACCCCAGGCAGGCAGGCTACAAAGCCCGCGCCTCCCTGTAATCTTTTGATCACACAGCGCGGTCACAGAATGTCACAGAGATTTCACTTCTCGGAGAAAAAATTAAATTTTGGATACTGGTTTAATGTCTAGAAGTTTTATTAGATTCCTTTCTTAATCCCAATGAATTTCTGATGAATAAATTTGCTATTCCTGCAAACATTACTGTATCTTTGGGTACTTTTTTGTTTTGTTTTGTTTCAATCTTCCTTCATAGTCCTTACACCATGGGTTTACTTTTCTAGTTTTGTAGGCTGGCAAGGGTCTCAGTCTAAATGGGTGGGGCTCAGCCTTCTCTTTCTCCTCCAAGGAAAGCTTCCTGCTCAGCACCTACCTGTTGGCCGTAGGCCTTGTAAACATGGCTATCTTCTAGCTCACTGAGAATTTTTATCTTTACGTTAATTGCTATTGAATATAATTTTCCCTGCATCTCTTGAAATAATCATATCATTATCCGTTTTAATCTTCTGCTGGAATAAGTAACACTGAGAGTGTCCCAGCAGTCATACTTCTAAGACAAGAGTGGTTGTTACACCTTTTATATAACAGGAGGTCCTGTTTAGGAAAAATCAAGATTAGGGTTGGTCTATCCTTTTGATTGTTCACAGTGCCCTGGTCCTGTACTGGCTCACACTGCCCTAGTAGGGTACTGGTTTTAAACGCAGGCTAGCATCAACACAAACTGAGACAGATACTTTGCGGCCACACCCACAAAGTACCTGTGACTCTCATCTGACTTAGAAACACAGATCCGTTCAAGTTCAGAGGAGGTGATATGGGGGCTGGAGAGATGACTCAGTAGTCAAGGGCATCACCTACTCTGGTTCA